AGAATCACCCTTGCCCCTGAAATCCAACCCCACTCCTTTCTCACTGAGAGGCTGAGTGACCTGCCAAGGTCACAGATGACTTAGTAACAATCACCCCCCTGGCCCTACTAGTATGTTTGCCTTGAGTCCTCAGAGCACAGTGCCCGTTCTGGGCATCCCAGACGGGGCTCCCAGGAGAGGGATGGACTGAGGGTCAGATTTCACAGGAGGCGAAGATCAAATCTTAGTGCTGAAAATAAATACCCAAAAGGAATATGAGGGTCAAGCACAGCTTTATGATGCCAAGAGGAACAGGTTTATCTAGCCGTCTCCCTTCAAACTGACCCAAGACTGAACCAAGAGTATGGGAACTGGCTGCTGTGGTAGGAGAGGTGGGGAAGATTTGTGCAGAACAGAACAGGGGCCACTTTGCTTCCCCTTCTTTGCCCTCTGCCTATCACCTGTTTTCGAGCAGCCCCACTCTGCCTTCCGTGGTGGCAGTAATAAAGGAAGTGTACTTCTTGCCCTGTCCCTATGTCCCCCTGGATGACCCTTCTGCCCCCACCTCCCCACTTGCTCCTGCAGTTGGGGATCTAGGTCAGTAAGAGTGGGTGGGTGAGAAAGAACAGAGAAGAGACTCATCCAGACGTGACACCCCGCAGGGCAGCAGTGACAACACTTTAACCTGAAAACTGCCTGAAAATAGACTGTGTGTCTATGACATTATGCAAATCATATGCAAAGTCAAGAAGCCCTCTGTCTCTATTTCGAGCAAACTGAATGTGGCCCTGGTGGAAACAACTCGTTCCAAGAGTCGCCCACCCAGAGTGATGACTGCGTGGTGAGCACTGGTCCCCGCCCTGGGAGAGTGGACTCAGGATGTGCACCCCTCTGCTCCACCCCCAGGGCTGTGTCTTCGGTGTGAGCATTTTGCCATCTTTTGGTCTGTTAATCTGGTTGTGGGTCAGGGTCTGGAGGAAGAAAAGCCACCCTCTGTTAGGGTAGATGTGGGGCAGGACTGAGGGAGAATGGCGACTGGGAGGACAGAATTGTCCTTGAGGACCTGGGTACCACAAGGGGTTGGCAGGGGAAGGCGTGGTCCTCAGTATCAAAGCTCCTGCTCCAGGAACCACCCTCACCCCCATATGGGCATGTTATAGACACTCATCACCCCTCAGGTTGAATTCCTACCATACAGACGATCCTCTTCCTCTTTATATAGGTAAGGAAATTAGAGCCTGGGGTCCCCCAGGAAAGCAGGACAAAGCTGAGAAAAAGTTGATGGGTTTTCTTCTTTCAAAGGCAGACAGGTTCCCTGAGGCTCTACCTGGAGGCAGGGGCTTGAACATCTGACATCCCAATGACTCTGCTCACCCTGGAGGGCAATGAGTCAGTTCTTCTTCCTAGTCAGCCTTCTTGTGATGCCTTTTCCACAATATTTCTACTGCCCTTCTCCCCACACTCCAACCACAGTGTGGACATCAGGGTGGAGATATAAGGACCAGGGTCTGGCAGGCATAGGAGGAGGGGGAAAAGCTACCTTTGCGGGATGCCAGGAATGTTCTTACTTCCCCGAAGCTAGTGTAAGAGGTCCTCTGGCAGGAAGGGCATGCTCTGTCATGGGAGTCCAAGGACACAGGTATGGGGGGGGCACACAGCCGGCTCCAGGCATGAGGCCACTTTGTGGGGGGCTGCTGGGAGGAGGGAAGGTCCTCCATGGTTAAGCGGACTGGGGTACCCTTTTACCAAAGAATATCAAGCGTACCCCTTTCTGTGGCCCCTTAAGGGGCCCTCTACTAAAAAGGTACAGCTTTTCTAGGCTGGAAAGTCAGGGACAAGTCCCCTCTTGGCTCCTTTCAGTACCTGCCTCCCCCATGGCATGTCCCCGCCCCCAACCTCCTGGGGGAGGGAAGGGAGGTGCTTTCTGAGCCTGCCTGGGACACCAAGGTGGGTCTCCTAGGATGGT